TAGTGTTGTCCCCAGAATGGCTCTGCTTATTCAGTAAATTTAGGACTATGGTTTGTCCATGCCCTGTTTGATTCCCATAGTCCTCTACACCTTGCTAGCAAGTTTCTAAATGTTGCTATATTTTCTTCCATGGTCATTATTACCTACAGTTTCTTTTATCTCTCTCTCTACTCTGTTGTGTCTGACTATGCATCTTTTCTCTGTGGAAGTCCCCTGATTCATTAAACTGGACCGTTATCACTGCCTCCTGAAGTTTGGTGATGGAAAGCAGGACAGTTTACTACATGCCAGATCACTGTCTAAAAAATTAGACCGCTTCATTGATGCTCTCCACATTCATTTTAGGTTCGCATCAGTAGACAAGCTTTTACAATAATGCACCAGAAAAAATTGTAAATAAACCAGCTGATTGTTGGTACCAATAACAAAAAAGGCATTTTAGGGTCAGCAACCATTGACCTACATATCTAAAAGCAGTACATGGAGCTGGCTCTCCTTGCTTCTCATCACTCATGTGCCACCTCCTCCTCTCTGCATCCCACATGGCTCTCTATATAGCTGGGAGAAATTGACAGGCTCACACTTCCTCGTAGCATCAGCAAAATTATTATTGATGACAAATGCCTATCGGGAGGCCCTAAATGCATTGGCCACCCAATGGGCCCCACAGTGTGCGGACTCCGATGTGTTCTCACTGGCTGCACCAGGGGTAGTTCACACTGCTGGTACCACTCACCTAGATTAATGGTCTTATGTGCAATGGTGGTGAATTCTCTTTAAAACACTTATTTATTCATATTACTTTCTAATCTTTCATGTTTTATATTGATTTTAAACGAAAACCACGTATGAATTATGCTTGTCCATCCTGGTTATTTGAGGTTCCTGAAGTCCCCATCTCCTTTGAATAATAATAATATAAATAATAATAATAATAACAACTGTATAATTTATTCAGAATATAAAACTGTATTGTACTTTTACGTACAAATATTTGATTAGTTAAAGGGAAATTGTCACTTCACAAGATTTTTAGGTTTTTATTTTTCCTTATCTCTATACTAACATATGTGCATTTGTGATATGTGAAATTTAAAATTTAAATGTAGAAATCTATACCTCTTCATCCTGCATCTTGGAGTCTCCATCTTAGCTCCATGTCTATTATTGTTGTAAACATTGTGGTTCACACCTGACAGTCATAGAAACATAGAATGTGACGGCAGATAAGAACCATTCTGCCCATCTAATCTGCCCAATATTTTGAAATACTTTTAATTAGTCTCTGGCCTTATCTTAAGTCTAGGATAGCCTTATGCCTATTCCACGCATGCTTAAACTCCCTCACTGTGTTAACCTCTACCACTTTAACTTGAAGGCTATTCCATGCATCCACTACCCTCCCAGTAAAGTAATACTTCCTGATATTATTTTTAAACCTTTGCCCCTCTAATTTAAGACAATGTCTTCTTGTTGTGGTAGTTTTTCTTCTTTTAAATATAGAGTCCTCCTTTACTGTGTTGATTCCCTTTATGTATTTAAATGTTTCTATCATATACCCCTGTCTCATCTTTCCTCCAAGCTATACATGTTAAGCTCCTTTAACCTTTCCTTGTAAGTTTTATCCTGCAATCCATGAACCAGTTTAGTAGCCCTTCTCTGAACTCTTTCTAGAGCATCAATATCCTTCTGAAGATACGGTCTCCGGTACTGCGTACAATACTCCAAGTGAGGTCTCACCAGTGTTCTGTACAATGGCATGAGCACTTCTCTCTTTCTACTGCTAATACCTCTCCCTATACAACCAAGCATTCTGCTAGCATTTCTAGCTGCTCTATTACACTGTCTTCCTACCTTTAAGTCATCTGAAATAATTACTCCTAAATCCCTTTCCTCAGATGTTGAGATTAGTAGGGTATCAAATATCCTATGCTCTGCCTTTTATTTTTATGTCCAAGGTGCATTATCTTGCACTTATCCACATTAAATGTCAGTTGCCACAGCTCTGACCATTTTTCTAGTTTACCTAAATCATTTGCCATTTGGCTTATCCCTCCTGGAACATCAACACTGTTACATATCTTAGTATCATCAGCAATAAGACATACCCTACCATCAAGACCTTCGGCAATATCACTAATAAAAATATTAAAGAGAATGGGTCAAAGTACAGATCCCTGAAGTACCCCACTGGTAACTAGAATTTGCTTGGAATATACTCCATTGACAACAACCCTCTGTTGCCTGTCATTTAGCCACTGTCTAACCCATTCAAAAATATCGGAATCGAAACTTAAAGATTGCAGTTTATTGATGAGCCTTCTGTGTTGAACAGGTTCAAAAGCCTTACTGAAATCTAGGTAAGCAATGTCTACTGCACCACCCTGATCTATTATTTTAGTTACCCAATCAAAAAATCTATAAGATTAGTTTGGCATGATCTCCCTGAAGTAAACCCATGTTGTCTCTGATCTTGAAATCCATGTGATTTTAGATTTTCAACAATCCTATTCTTTAACATGGTTTCCATCACTTTCCCCACAACTGAAGTAAGGCTTACTGGCCTATAGTTGCCCGACTCCTCCCTATTACCTTTCTTGTAAATGCGCACAACATTCGCTAATTTCCAATCTTCTGGGACTACTCCTGTTAACAATGATTGGTTAAATAGATCCGTTAATAGTTTTGCCACTACACCACTAAGTTATTTTAATAACTTTGGGTGTATCGCATCAAAGCCCCATCAACTTATTTGTCTTTACTTTTGACAGTTGAAATAGAACCTCTTCCTCTGTAAAAACAAACATGTAACAAATGACTCATTCACTGGCGTACATACCAGGGTCGCAGGGGTCGCGACTGCGACCGGGCCCGGCCCACCAGGGGGCCCGGCCGCCCCTGCGACCTGGTATGTACCCACAGGGCCAGCCTCTTCCCCTGGGGGGCCCAGGAGCCGACCACCCCAGGGCCCCGCTGAGGCTGGCCTTGCTGACCCCGGGTGGCCGGTCGGGCAGGCAGGCGGGCGCGCGAGGGAGCACTCAGTGCTTCCTCTTCAGCTCCCTCGCGCACCGCAATGATACCGGAGCCGGAAGATGACGTCATCTTCCGGCTCCGGCATCCCTGCGCGGCGCGCGAGGGAGCTGAAGAGGAAGCACTGAGTGCTCCCTCGCGCGCCCGCCTGCCTGCCCGACCGGCCACCCGCCCAGGAGCCCCACTGGACCCCAGGGAATAATCCCCCCCAGCACTCCAAGAGGTAAGGAGGCTGGGGGGATTATATTAAAAAAAAAAAAAAATCATGTGTGAGTGTTAGAGTGAGTGTTAGTGTGTGTGAGTGTTAGAGTGAGTGTGAGTGTTAGAGTGAGTGTTAGTGTGTGTGTGTGTGTGTGTGAGTGTTAGTGTGTGTGAGTGTTAGAGTGAGTGTTAGTGTGTGTGTGTGTGTGTGTTAGTGTGTGTGAGTGTTAGTGTGTTAGTGTGTGTGTCTGCTAGTGAGTGTCAGTGAGTGTGTTACTGTGTGTGTCTTACTGAGTGTGTGTGTGTTAGTGAGTCTGTTTTATGTCTGTTAGTGAGTGTGTGTTTGTCAATGAGAGTGTATGTTTTGTAAGTGAGTGTGTATGTATGTCTGTCGCTGACTGTATCTCTGTCAGTAAATGTGTGTGTCTGTTAGCTAGTGTGTATGTGACTGTAAGTGTGTGTGTGTGTGTCTTCAGCACTTACCTTTCTCCAGCGCCGGACTCCCTTGGCACTGAGGATCCCTCAGCCTCTCAGCTCCGAATGCGACCGCGCACGCATTCAAACCGCCCATAGGAAAGCATTTCTCAATGCTTTCCTATGGACGTTCAGTGTGCTCCTCTAGCGGCTGTCCGTGAGACAGCCACTAGAGGCTGGATTAACCCTCAGTGAAACATAGCAGTTTCTCTGAAACTGCTATGTTTTCAGCTGCAGGGTTAAAACTAGAGGGACCTGACACCCAGACAACTTCATTGAGCTGATGTGATCTGGGTGTCTGTAGTGGTCCTTTAAAGGACCACTATAGTGCCAGGAAAACATACTCGTTTTCCTGGCACTATAGTGCCCTGAGGGTGCCCCCACCCTCAGGGACCCCCTCCCGCCCGGCTCTGGAAAGGGGTAAAACTTACCTTTTTCCACCGCTGGGCGGAGAGCTCTCCTCCTCCGATCCTCCTCTTCTCCTCCCGTCGGCTGTATGCGCACGCGCGGCAAGAGCTGTGCACGCATTCAGCCGGTCACATAGGAAAGCATTCATAATGCTTTCCTATGGACGCTGGCGTGCTCTCACTGTGAAAATCACAGTGAGAAGCACGCAAGCGCCTCTAGCGGCTGTCAATGGGACAGCCACTAGAGGAAATAGGGGAAGGCTTAACCCATTCATAAACACAGCAGTTCCTCTGAAACTGCTATGTTTATGAAAAAATGGGTTAACCCTAGCTCGACCTGGCACCCAGACCACTTCATTAAGCTGAAGTGGTCTGGGTGCCTAGAGTGGTCCTTTAAGTGTGTGTGCATCTGCATGCACTGGCGTACATACCGCGGTCGCAGGGGTCGCAGCCCTGTAACCCCTGCGACCAGTTGCCCACCGCCATGTGTTGCGGCCCGGCCCGCGCGGGGGGGGGGGCCACGGATCAATTTTCGCACCGGGGCCCCATGGGTCATGTGTACGCCACTGGACTCATTTGTCCTTTTTCCTAACGGAGGCCCCTTTCCTTCATTTTCACCTGTAAATACTGAACAAAAATATTAATTGAGGCAATCAGCTAGACCTTTATCCTTATTCTACATACCTTCCTTCTTTTGTTTGTAATCTAACTAATCCTTGTTTTACTTTCTTTTTCTCATCTAAAAATGTTTTATCCCCCTTTTTTACCGACTGTGCTATTTTCTTGCTTATTCTCCTTTTGCCTAATCTTATAGATCTGTCTGTCAGCATAGCGAAAACATACAGAAAAGAGGAGAAACAAAAAAACAATGTTTCTAATTCTTCTCTTGAGGACAAAGTAAAACAGCAAAAGTTTCGAGCAGCAGCCCTTTCTCAATGCTAATTAGCATTGAGAAAGGGCTGCTGCTCGAAACTTTTGCTGTTTTACTTTGTCCTCATATAAATTGTGGTAGCACCTGGGTGTGCACACCTATACTGGATGTGCAGGACTCTTGTTTGTTTTTTGGTTGTATATACACTGTTGGGACTTCAGTGTGGAGTATCTGCAGCACAGGTCTAACTTGTTCTTTGTTTATATTTTGAATTTTGTAGGCATTTTTTGCCTCTACCTCATCCTATATATAGTAATTATTCTCTTCATTTGCAATGTTTACCCTGGCTTTATCTTGTCTGGACTGGTTTATGATGTAGTTTGCTAAATATTTAAAGGGACACTGTAGGCACCCAGACCACTTTAGCTCACTGAAGTGGTCTGGGTGTTGTGTCCCTTTTGCACTTAGTCCTGCAATGTTAAACATTGCAGTTCCAGAGAAACTGCAATGTTTACATTGCAGCAATAAATCTGCCCTCAGTGGCTGTATACCAGACAGCCACTAGAGGGCTTCCGGAATCCAAACTGACTTTTGGTCCGGTATCTGACACTGGACGTCCTCATGACTCCAGCGTCCCCATAGGAAAGCATTAATTCAATGCTTTCCTATAGGGAGGTCTAATGCGCGAGCTTTTTTTATTTATTTATTGTGTCATTTAGTACATTTTCAAATAATATTGTAAGAAATGGATTAGCTATGTAGCAAATCCAATCAATTGTGTAAACTCTATAGAGTATCACATCATATTTTCATATTTAATGATAAAACTATTAGACTACGTCAACACTTTGAACTTCACAAGTACATCTGACCTCGGTAAAATTATATCAGTATCTTCACTTACAGCAGGGCACATTCCATTGTGTAGGAATATGTAATAGATTTAATAATCCCTCCTTTTCCAATTATAGCATAGAGGCTCTCCAGAGCCCATTATAATCTTAATGAATAAAACTCTTTTAATCTGACATCTGGAAATCAATTAGACATGCCTGGCAGGTCCAGATAGACCTATTGATTTTTCTCTCTCACCAGGAAAAAAAATGGGGAGGGTTGGTAAAAAGCAGATTATTATGGCAAAGTTCAAAAACGATACCTTCATTTTTTAAGTATTTTAATTCCTTTGCTCTGTGAGCCAATATTAAAATGATTTATATATTAAGTATTTCATATTAGAAACTATTAAAAAGTAAAAATTCCTGATGCTTTCTTCTAAAGGTTACAATTCAAAAGCTTTCAGATATAATTAGTAACAATGATAGTAATTATCTGTACTTTATGGTAACCGATCGTGAAACCTACTGGCCATGTGATATACTAAGCACACTGACAAGTTTAATCCCTTAAGGACACATGAAGGAAATATTCCGTCATGATTGCCTTTTTTACCAGAAGTTGTGTCCTTAAGGGGTTAATAAAGCAGTGTTTTCAATACGTGATCATTTTGGTATTCTTAGTATGTAGCTCTTGCTATTCAGTAATATTTTTTTTGCACAATATACATTAAAGTAGGCCCATGGTTATCATAATCAAAATGGAGAAACTAACAAAAAGAAAAACAAAGGTTGAAAAATATTGCATGGTTAGCATTAAAAGTGCATCAATTATATTTTATCTCTGACATGGCATATACATATGGTATGAATATTTTTTGTCCAATGTAATTTAATACATACAGGGAGTGCAGAATTATTAGGCAAATGAGTATTTTGACCACATCATCCTCTTTATGCATGTTGTCTTACTCCAAGCTGTATAGGCTCGAAAGCCTACTACCAATTAAGCATATTAGGTGATGTGCATCTCTGTAATGAGAAGGGGTGTGGTCTAATGACATCAACACCCTATATCAGGTGTGCATAATTATTAGGCAACTTCCTTTCCTTTGGCAAAATGGGTCAAAAGAAGGACTTGACAGGCTCAGAAAAGTCAAAAATAGTGAGATATCTTGCAGAGGGATGCAGCACTCTTAAAATTGCAAAGCTTCTGAAGCGTGATCATCGAACAATCAAGCGTTTCATTCAAAATAGTCAACAGGGTCGCAAGAAGCGTGTGGAAAAACCAAGGCGCAAAATAACTGCCCATGAACTGAGAAAAGTCAAGCGTGCAGCTGCCACGATGCCACTTGCCACCAGTTTGGCCATATTTCAGAGCTGCAACATCACTGGAGTGCCCAAAAGCACAAGGTGTGCAATACTCAGAGACATGGCCAAGGTAAGAAAGGCTGAAAGGCGACCACCACTGAACAAGACACACAAGCTGAAACGTCAAGACTGGGCCAAGAAATATCTCAAGACTGATTTTTCTAAGGTTTTATGGACTGATGAAATGAGAGTGAGTCTTGATGGGCCAGATGGATGGGCCCGTGGCTGGATTGGTAAAGGGCAGAGAGCTCCAGTCCGACTCAGACGCCAGCAAGGTGGAGGTGGAGTACTGGTTTGGGCTGGTATCATCAAAGATGAGCTTGTGGGGCCTTTTCGGGTTGAGGATGGAGTCAAGCTCAACTCCCAGTCCTACTGCCAGTTCCTGGAAGACACCTTCTTCAAGCAGTGGTACAGGAAGAAGTCTGCATCCTTCAAGAAAAACATGATTTTCATGCAGGACAATGCTCCATCACACGCGTCCAAGTACTCCACAGCGTGGCTGGCAAGAAAGGGTATAAAAGAAGAAAATCTAATGACATGGCCTTGTTCACCTGATCTGAACCCCATTGAGAACCTGTGGTCCATCATCAAATGTGAGATTTACAAGGAGGGAAAACAGTACACCTCTCTGAACAGTGTCTGGGAGGCTGTGGTTGCTGCTGCACGCAATGTTGATGGTGAACAGATCAAAACACTGACAGAATCCATGGATGGCAGGCTTTTGAGTGTCCTTGCAAAGAAAGGTGGCTATATTGGTCACTGATTTGTTTTTGTTTTGTTTTTGAATGTCAGAAATGTATATTTGTGAATGTTGAGATGTTATATTGGTTTCACTGGTAATAATAAATAATTGAAATGGGTATATATTTGTTTTTTGTTAAGTTGCCTAATAATTATGCACAGTAATAGTCACCTGCACACACAGATATCCCCCTAACATAGCTATAACTAAAAACAAACTAAAAACTACTTCCAAAAATATTCAGCTTTGATATTAATGAGTTTTTTGGGTTCATTGAGAACATGGTTGTTGTTCAATAATAAAATTAATCCTCAAAAATACAACTTGCCTAATAATTCTGCACTCCCTGTATGTCACATATTGTATATAAAGAGTAAAAATGATACAATTACCACTGCATTTTTGAAGCAGGAAGTTTGGAATTATTATGCAATTTCAATCTCGTGTGGTTAATTGAGATGAACACATTTTAAGTTATAATTAACACATTTTGGCAGAATTCAAGTTTAATATTACATCCTTGGTTCTGATCAATGGATTGGCATTCATGCTCCAAAATTAATAATTAAACTTTACCAATAACTATGTCTGTATGTGTGTTTTGCAGATCATGAATGGTGGCAGAATAATTAATAATGGAGAGTTTATCTTGAAGGGGAAATTAATTACTGACTTCACGCACACAAAGGAAAAATTCAAAGCGGCCTAATGTAAATGGTGATTACTTTTCCAAATATGCTGCTATCGATATTGTAAAAACACTTGGATAACATTAAACTGAAAGTGCACTTACTCAATCATTTGAATTAATTATGTTTAGTTGTAGACTCCTTTACAAGCAAGTTCTTTGTATTATTAAAACTAGCTTCAATTTGAACTGTTTAACTTAGAGTTGATCTGTTGGATAAAATGAAAATAGAGGGGAACATTTCACATTTTTCTTACTTCAAACCCAACACAATTTCGTGGATATGTATGTGCAGTACCATGTATATAGGCCCTAATATTGTGCATTTACTGTGCTGCATCACATTTGCAAATGAACAATATTCACATTTTTTCAGTATAAAATTAGATTTTTTTAGTTCAACTCATGAACTAAGAAAACTCTTTAACTAATAATCTGAATCAATGAGGAACAAGGAAAAAAAAAATTATAAATGTCTTGTTTTCTTTGTATCAAAGTGAATATTTCTTATCATTAACATAAAAAATAAAAAATAAAAAACCAAACCAAGATGCAGTTGAATCAATGTGTATATATTATCCATGAATGTAACAGAAATGGGTATAATCTTCTTGTTTTCCTGCTGCTTGATTGTGTCTAATAAATTGTATATTGTCAACATTTAGGGGACAGATTTATGGAACTGAAAACTAAATTTAAATACTTCTAAAACAATGGAAGGATTTCAAGTGCATTAAAATATGCCCTTTTCACATTTACTATTTTAAGACTTATTGAGGTAGTGGTGTAGTTTAGCATACTTAATTATTTGTCTAATTTAACTAATAACACGTTCAGTGTGAGCTTAAAGTGGGTTTTACTTGCTATATATTCACTTTTGTTTGCTTGTGGTGTTAGCTTGACAAAGACCTCTTGTTAGGTCGAAATGTTGCTGTCTGTTTTGTTACAATAAATCTGCCTGCGGCTTTCACATTTTGAGTGACTGGAAATCTCTTTTTGCTGCCTTAAAGCGGATTGTGTCACTTAACTGCTTAAGTGACAAAATAACAGTTATTTTGCTAAAAAATAATATACCATGCATTTGAAACATAGGATGCATAGCTAGCACATAAACAGAAGGTTAGTTTATAACTATCCAATGGACTATAAAATATAAAATTCTGTAAATCAAGTTTAATATTTCAATTTTTTTGTTCTTTTGCCAGAGTGGATTTGATTTATATTTAATCGATTAAAATCACCAGTCGGTAAGACTCATTTAAAAAATTTGTTCTTTTTGCTCTGACCATTTTAAAACTAATTTTAAAATTTTGTATCAATGGTACTTAGTTCCGTCCAGACTACACAACATGAACAACATGTATTCTGACCGGTGTTGGAGATATTGTGGCGGTTTGGGAAATATGGCCCACATATGGTGGTATTGCCCAAAAATAACCAAATACTGGAAAATGATTTATGACCTAATCATTAAGGTAGATAGAAACATTA